AATAATAATATATATTATATTTTGGTATAGCTACACAGAAAAAAACCATTTTCTTTAAAGAAACATTGAAAATTACTGCAAAAAATTAATAAAATCTCTTTTTTCACATTCAATCAGTTTTTGGGTCCATTAATTATTCACACATTCACTTTATTATTTTTGTATTTGTTTTTTTAGATGAAAAGGAAACTTTTTCAGCTCGGCACTTATTGATATTAAATAATTTTACAAAAATGGCCAGGCTAATAGGCCCAGTAGTTTTTGCCAGTTTTCTGCAGACATTCACTGAAAAAATTACATTTTAATTTTAAGAAAATCTTAATATTAAAATCTTAATATTCTTATATTCCCCACTTAGATTATGTGGGAAATATTCTTACAATAAGAAGAAAATTAGTATTGTAAGAATATTTCCTACTTAATTTAAGTGGGGAATATTCTTGGCGCATATTTAAGAAGTTTTTCTTAAAATTAGAATGTAATTTTTTCAGTGCTGACGGGCCCGTTTTGCAGTCTTAGAATTTCGCATTTGGAGCTTATAAAAAACCATTTATTATCTTTTTTCCGAGAAGCTCCACTTGGAGGTGACCACTATTGGTTGTTTTTGGCAAGTTTTTAAATCCCGTGCAGAAATTGCCCTAAAAGGGCTCTGACCCCGCATGAAACCGGGAACCCGACCGGGCCCCGGCCTGGTAGCTCGTCCAATCGGGCTTTTCGTCATGGCGCTGGGCGGGTTCCCTGTTTCACCCCGGTCTGGACCCGGCCAGGCCCCTGTCAAAATTTCTACTCGGGATTATTCTCCAGGAGCTTTGTAAAACTAAAAAAAATTCTTGTTAATTAAATTCGATAAAAAATATGAAACATTTTTATTTCAGTATTACTAAATTATCTTGGATCATAATTTGTAAAAACAAAAAACATCTTATTTAGAAGTAATAAGTAGGTAAAATCAAAAAAATTAGATATTAATATTTTCAATTTTTATGGGTAAAAATATTTAAACTTTTAAATTTTATATTTAAAATTCCTATTTTTTTCTATTTTTATGATAAAATTGAAATTAAAATTACCAAGAAAACAAATTAATTAATTAATTAGAAAATATCAATACCAACTTAATGCAAGAATTAATTAATATTTAACCCTTTGAGTAGCAGTGATACATTTAATTTATATGAACATTTTTTTGTTAACTTCTGTATAACTTTCTTGATTTCAAAAACTGAATATTGAAACAATTTTTTTGGTCCAATGAGGCAAATTTCTTGCTTTAAATACTGGTCTTTAAATAAAAAAAGTTTAATAACTTTCCATAAAAAGCTTGTTTAAAAATCAAAAATCATCATTTTTGTAGAAAAAATTTGATCAGAAAAATCGAAAAAAAATTCAAAATACGTCTTTTTTTGAAATTTTAGTATAGAAATGGGTTGTATTTATCTAAAAAGTTAGCTAAGGATAGTTTTTCATCCATTTTATAAAAAAAATAAAAATTTTTCATTTTTTTGATTTTTCGAATTTTTTGAAAAAATATCGTAACTTTCGTTTAAGTTAATATTTTTTAATCGGATAAGGCTATGATTTTAAGTTACGTTAATACCTAATAGACTGCCAAGTTTCACTTTAATCGGTTAAACCGTTTTGAAGTGATGCGCGAACAAAGTTTTGCATACAGACAGACAGACAGACAGAAGGACAGACAGACAGACAGAAATTTTTTTTTTACATTTTTCGAATTCTCATGTCTCAAAACGAAAAAATATATAAAAATTTTCAAGCTTGGAGCATTGTACAGACAGAAGTCTGATTTTATTAATATAGAATAGATATCAACTTTAGATTTGTATTTAGCAACCTCAATAACCCATTAGTAATAAGTTGCAAAAATATTTGACAGGTTTTTTAAAATTAACCATTTACATACAACATAAAAATGTACCGGGTATGGTTTTTGAGTTATTTACCGTGACACATCCTGAAATCATGTCGGGCAAAATTTTTTTATTAAGAAAATTTAAAAAAAAAAAATTTGAATTTTTTTTTGGAATCTCTTTAATTGAATTTTCAACATATCCACAGCTGATTAAAATGCATACAGTAGTTTTTGAGAAAAATGCGTTTTTCGATTGTTTCCCCTCCATAAGTTCCAAAAAACTCAAAATTTTGAGTTAAAAATTTCAAAAAGTTATTTTTAAGTGGGTAGGAATAAATGGGAAAAATATATTCGGGTCACTTTTTCCATACTTATTTGGCTATACCCTATCACATGAAATTGCCCATATGTATATATGTGCATTACCGTATACGTGACAAATAGCATGACCATGGTTTTTGACATTTTACTCAAAAACTATATTTTTAAAAAATTTGGAAAAAATATATGTTAAAAGGGACATTATAAGGTACTTTTTACAAGAAAAGAGAAAGTAGTCCCTTAAAAAAAACCCTAAAAAAATTTTGATTTTTTTTTCTAAAATCGTCTTATTTATATTTACAACCTCTTAAAATTTCATTAAAATCGGTTCAGTAGTTTTCGAGAAAAATAAGTTTTTTGATTTCGCTTTCCCCCTCCATAATTCCCCCAAAAAAGCGAATTTTGAGTTCAAAATTGCAGAAAGTTATAGTCATATGGATAGTAATATATGGGCTAAATTTGAGAAAAATAGATGCGGGGCCAGTTTTTGCACACTTAACCCCCTAAGCCCTTTTAAATTTATTTATACCTTATAGTATAGAGAAGATTTTTCAAATAGTCCCGAAATGGGCCTGATGGATTAAATGAGTTTTAAAACATTTTCAAAAATCACTTGCAAGCATCGAAGTGGGATTTTTTTTACAATTAACTTTTTAAAACTGTCTACAGCGTAGACCCTTTAATTTAAAACAAAGAACACTCAAATAGATTAAAAATTATACGCTGTAGAGTGTAGACAGTTTTAAAAAGGTAATTGTAAAAAAATCCCACTGTGATGCTTGCAAGTGATTTTTGAAAATGTTTTAAAACTCATTTAACACATCAGGCTCATTTCGGGACTTTTTGTTTGCATTTCTTAAAAGTCAAAAGAAGACTAAGACTTTCATTCTTTGACAACTTTTTCCTAAACTGGAAAATTAGAACAATTAAACAAAAATAAAAAAATACGTATCTGTTTTTTCGATACAGAATAGAAAAAAAACATTTTTGGACGATTTTAAGAGGTCAACATAAATCTCACGTGGAATTGCCCATAGATTTTTTTACTATTTATTTTGGATTTCTTTACTCTGGACATTTTCACTTTAGACTTTTTGTACTTTGGATTTTTTTCTTGGATATTTTGGATTGGACTTTTTGTCTTATATTCCTTGAAAGATTTAGAGTAAGGAAATATCAGTGATCAGTGGATAATAAAAAAAAATGTTAACGTTGTAGCAGACGTTAACCATTGACATTATCATTTAAGATAATGTTGTGAAGGGCCTGTTTAGGAGACGACTGATAATTATACTCTGTGCGAGATAAGTCGTGCGCGAGAGAGGTATTTCTCGACGTCTACCAGGGAGTTAGAGAATTATAAGAGAAACTTCTATTAGTTTTCCAATTCCTTGCTAGATGGCGAGATATACATCTCTCGCGTACGACTTGTCTCGCACAGAGTGTAAGTATACGTCCCCTGAACAGGGCCTTCCTAATATAATCTGAAATGATAATAATAGTTAACGTCTGCTAAGACGTCAACAATTAATAACATTTGTATTATAACTTTGTTATAATTATGTTAAATAAAAATTAAATACTAAATAAAAATTGTGTATTAAATAATTTATTTGATATTATATAATTAAATACAGTACCGTCCGAAATTGTCGGTCCACCCATTTTCAAAGGAATGACAACATTTTTTTAACATAAAATTCATGAAAAGTAAAATTTTTTTTGGTTTATATTTTGAAAGACGATAAAATTTTGAAAAGAATAAGACCTTACAGAAGTCATTTGGCCAAAATTTGTAGAAGATATTCTTAAAAATCGTCATTTTCAATGTTTTACAAAAATTTGAATAACTTCTAAAATAATGAACGCTTTTTAATAATCTTAGGCTTATTTTAAAGACCATTTTCTACAGAATAAGAATTACTTATAGGCATTAACCTGTCATTTTTAACTTAGAATAAGCATGACGTCAAAGTTGGACAAAAGAATTCAAAAAATTTGAAATAATATTATTAAAAGAAAAATAATTTTTGAAATTCAAAAATATATTTTTATTAAATTTTCTTGAAAAATCTACACCATATCATGTTTTATATATGTTCTAGAATAGTTTTTAGTACAAAAAATTGATTTCAAATTTTTCCAATTTTTTTGTCCAATTTTGACGTCATGCTTATTCCAAGTTAAAAATGACAGGTTAATGCCTATAAGTAATTCTTATTCCGTAGAAAAAGACCTTTAAAATAAGCCTGAGATTGTTAAAAAGCGTTCATTATTTTAGAAGTTATTTAAATTTTTGTAAAACATTGAAAATGACGATTTTTAGGAATATCTTCTACAAATTTTGGCCAAATGACTTCTGTAAGGTCTTATTTTTTTCAAAATTTTATCGTCTTTCAAAATATAAACCAAAAAAAATTTTAGTTTTCATTAATTTTATGTTAAAAAATTTTTGTCATTCCTTTAAAAATGGGTGGACTGACAATTGCGGACGGTACTGTATTTGTCACTTGCTACCTGGGAATTTTCGGAGATAGTTTTTTAGAAAATTATCAGTTAAACTTTTTTTAATTTGCATTCTAGAATTTCACAAAGTTTTCTTTAAATTTTTTCAGAAAATTTAGAAGGATAACTTCCTGGAAGTTAATATTGGAAAGTTTAAAACGTAGGACATTTAGGGGTACAGGGAAGTTAACAAAGATAACTTTCGAACTTATCTCTAATAACTTCCTGGGAAAAACGGTGCTAATATCTGGATTGTATCACTAATGAAAAGTAATTTCTTCCAAGAAGAAACTTGTTAACTTACTTGAATCTTGGAATTTGACGTTTTTCCCAATCAGCTATCACACAGCGAAAGTCTGTTTTAATTGTGCAATTAGTTATTTCCAAAATACTAGACTCGTCTATCAAGAGAACTTCATGTGCAGGCACTTGGGCTGTTGAGTATAATTGTTTTTTCGTGAGAGCTATTATTCTATACCAGTTATCAGGTTTCTCCTCTTCGCACATCTCCTTTTCACTTGTAAGAATTAATATTTTGTATAAAATATTCTCATTCTGTTTTCTCTTGTCAAGCAAGAGAGCGAGTTTATTATAGTGATTTTTGTAAGATATAAGCAAAACACGACCTTCTGAAAGGTTCTTGGATGCTCTTTTTGCAGAAAGCATCTCTGGTCTAAGTTTCTTCCAAATTCGCAAATACTCCATAGCAGTTTCATAAAACTCTGCTAACTTTTCTTGATTCGGGGATAGTGTCGGGGTTTTTGCTAATGTTTCTTCAATCACTTGCAAATTGGCTTTCACTTGTTTTTCTCTTATTAACGAACTTGCTTCTTTAAAAGATCTGCGCATCATATCTTTTACTGAAACCGTTTCGCTGAGTCTTCTCAAATGTAAAACCATTGAGTATGTAATTTTAAACTGAGACTCCAAACTTTGCGGTTCGCCACACATCATTGCTTGCAAGTCAATGAAATTAGGAACATCTGCTTTGCATAGTAGCATGACAGTTCCCGTAGTATCATGACCTCTTCGTCCAGCCCTTCCAGCCATTTGAATATACTCCGTTGGATGTAGAGCCCGAAACTTAGAACCATCATATTTTCTGACAGCATCAAAAACAACAGTTCTAGCAGGCATGTTGACACCCATGGCAAATGTTTCAGTAGCAAAGAGCATCTGAATTCATAAAAAACAAAAAAATGATTAAAATAATTGTTGGAATACAACGATAATTATTAATATCAATGTTAGAAATGAATCTTAAAGGAAAATTGTGTGGAAAGGGAAACCAGGTAAATGAATTACCTGAGTCCCACTTAGGGTTGCGGTAAATACATAAAGTGTAACGAAGCATTTCGTTATAATTTCCTTTTTGGTTATTTGGGTTATTTTTGACATTTAAATATTCGCGGGGCTTTCGTGATTGGGGCGGAGGTTTTTGGTTTCGTTTTGTGCGGTGTTTCCAGCGTCCAATGGGTGAAGCGGTTTAGGAGTTCGTCCACTGGATCTTCGAGGGAGCGTCGCGAGAGGAAGCCGGCCGGCATCATTATCATTACGTGATTAATTGCTTTGAAAGAGAGTTCGTTTCCAATCTGTCAATTAATAATCGAGTCAATCCATTATCTTTGCCTTAATTCTAAGTAACAAGTTTGAGTGTAGTTTAGTGACCAATAAATTTAAGCATTGATTAAATTCGTGTCCAATTTTTATTATTGATAAATTGTTTGTGTTGTGTTCAAATTGTTGCTGTTGAGTTTATCATTTTTGGTAAGTCCATGTTTCATTTTGAAAGCCTGGCATTTTGTCTCGCCGTTATCGCATCAATCGGTTTGGGTTCGAAGCGGAATCTCCCCTTTGTTTATTAAATATTATATTGTGCAGTTGATGCAATTTTAATGCATTTAAAATAATATCTGTCACAAATTTTGCGCCCAACGTGGGGCAAAGCGTTGGACTGAGAGATAAGGCGACATGGTTAATATTTGTGTTTTATGGTTTTTTAAATAATAATTTTGGAGGCTAAGAGGTTTGTGTTTGGACACAGAATTTTTTGGGTTTGAGTGATGGTCAAATTGGCCATATTCGGGATTATTTTAAGTAATGAAATTTGGTTTTAAAAATTGTCTGAAAACATGTGCTCTTAAATATGGGCGGACATTTTGAATAGGCGCGAAAAGCAAAGGTATGAAAAATGTCGAAGTTGGGACAATTGTTTTTCTGTGAGGCTAATTTTTCGGGAATTTCAGTGTAGTAAGTCGAAATTTTTGGCAGTGAATTTATTGATGGTAAATTATTCGGGCAAGTGACGCGAATTTAATTAATAATTTTTTTTGGGAAAAATCGAACGGATTATTTTTTGTCCGTAAAAGTATTGACATAGTGTTTGTCGTGTTGGTTTGGTATTGTGAGGTCAATACTTTGGCTGTTGGTTCAAAAAGTTGAACCTTTGTGGATTTTTCTCGAAATTGTTCGCGAGTAATTGATTTATTTTGCGGCAATTGGATAAATTGACTTTTATTTTTACTTGGAAAAATATTTTTGGGAAAATAAAAATTTGGGAAACTTGGGAAAATTGACAAAATTTTTCGAAAAAGCAATGGTTGGGTGCAAGTGCACCGAGCACATGGCAAACGACGCCGATTAAGTATTGTGTGGTCAATACTATTGCGTCGGAAAGAAAAGTTAATTTTCTAAATTGTTTCTCGGCCATTTTCAATTAATTAAGGTTGAATTAATTTTAAACAAGTAATTCTCGTGAATATTTTTGGGTTTTGTCACGTTTTGGTGTCAATTTGTTGAAATATTTTTGTTTTGTGTGTATTATTTGGGTTAAAATAATTTTTACAAAATTCTGGAAAATTTTATCCAGGGACGAGGTTGCCAATAAACGCGGGAAAAATTTTACAGGACGGCGATTTTGGGCCGTAGGAAAATTTTGAGCGTCAGTGGCAGCTATATTGTGGTTTTAATTTTGAACAAAAATTTTAATTAATGGAAATTTTTATTATTTTAATCTGAATTTCAAGTGACGTATTATTTGAGTATTATTTGTATTTGGATTTTATTTTATGCTATTTGTGGGGAAAATAATTTTTTTTTATTTTATTATTTTTCTCAAAAATAAAATTTTCAGGACTTTGAAAATTTTTCACAAGTTTTTGGTTTTCGTAATAGCATAAAATTTTGGGTTTGTGTTTAGGTGTAAAAATTTCCAAAATTGTTGGTTAATTGTCACTAAACATTGTTGTTGTTTAATATTTTATTATTTGTCGGGAAAATTGGTATTTATTTTTTTTTTCTATTTGACAGATAATGGTTAATTGATAAACAATAATTTTTTTTGTGGATTTAGCGAATAAATAATTTGGGTTTGGCACGACGAGTGGTCGTAAAGGTCAAAACAAATTGGGTAAATCCATGAGGATTTAGATTTGTTTCAAGTGACATTTTACAAATTTGTTCTTGGGTTTGGAAATTTTATTGAGTATTATTTTGTTTTTAGTGTTTGTTGAAAATTTTAAATTGGTTGACAAATAATTTTATTAATTGTTTGGATTTGTTGTGGATTTAGTTATTAAATTTTCGCATTTTTGGATAAACGTGTCGATTATGGATTCGTATCAAAAGCATATGCTCAAAATTTTGGAAAGTCGGCAAGCTAGGGTCATTTGGAGGGAAATTCAAAGAACCCCCGTTAATGATGTGGTTCAGGAATTGGTTAAGGCTAATTGTAGTACAAAGGGGTCAATCCAGGTACTACGGGAACGCTTATTACGATTCAGGACCAAGGAAATTTTAGCGGGAATAATTTCAGTTCCATGGTTGGAAATGTATGATGCGGCGGATTCTCAAAGGGTTTTCTTGAGCGAGGCACTTGCACCTCGTAGGGCAAGAAGGGTCGATTACTCGGGTTATGAAACAGAACAGGAAGCGGCCATTGATTTAAGTTCATATGAGGGCAACCTGTTAGGGGAACTAGTTTCTCAGGTTTTATCGAGTAATGATGATTACTTTTTGGGTTTTGAGAGAGAGCAGCAATTAGAAAGTGCTGAAGCAGCTTCAGCCAGCAGTAGCACCGTTACGACTTGTGTGACGTCAGTGGCCAACTCTGTGGTGACCACAACATCTAATTCGAGCGGAAGGGCCGCAACGAATGTGGTTTGGAGTTCGGCAGTAGGTGGCGTCACCTCTCCAATGATTACACCGAGTAGTTGGAGAGTTAGTCAGGTAGATGCTAGGATGCATTTCCATCCGGATTTGGGCGCTATTTTTGCCCAAAATAGGAACGTAGAGGTTAATTGGTTACACCCCCCAGTTAATGCAGTGGCCCAGACACTTGAATCGGTCTCTGATAGGGTAGTGTTTCCCCAAAATTCGGGAAATTCGGGACCTAGTGGAGGTTCTGGGGTGATCTCGGATCAACAATATGCGAGCCCTGAGGTCATTTCACAACAACAAAATGCGGTTCCTGAGGTTATTTCCCAACAACAAAATGTGGGCAATGGGGCTATACCTAAACGATCACAAACAAATCGGTCCGATAGTGGGACACAGTGGGAGCCACAGGCCCCTAGAGTAGAATCGGCGGGTTATTACTCACAGAGGAGTAGGGCTTACCAGGCTGAATCGAATTTTGACTTAAGCGACGAGGTTGTTAATAGTTTTCCGGGTAAGCACCATAAGAGAATATCTTCTTTTAATAAGGATATTAAAAGGGTGCTTACTCCTCCTGAAGCAGAAGAGTGGGAGAGGCGAGCAGAAGGTCTTCCAACTCCAGTAGGGATGGACTCGGAAAGCGATAGCTGGGATGAGATTAGGAAGCGAAGAAGTAGGAAACGGTCCCAAGGGCGTAAAATTAGTTCTTCACGAAAAACTAGGCTCTCAACGTGGCAGTTGTCCAGTGACTCTGAGTCAGAGGCGAGTCTGGACTCTAGGAAAACGGGAAATAGGTCAAAAAAGGGCCATTACCACCACCATGGGTCTAGTTTGAACTTAACGAAGACGCTTAAGGACTGGGAAATTAAATTTTCGGCGGGCGAAAAGGAGGACCCAGAAGAATTTTTAGAGCGGCTAGAGGATTGCATTACATGCTATGATCTCTCTGGTCAAGAAATGCTTAAGGCGGTTGCTTCGGCGTTGCGTGGGGCAGCCAGCCGTTGGTATAGGTTGACTAGGAACGGAAAATAAGGAAAATGCAGTGGATGCATTTGGGATGAGTCAGGGTCGGCCTAGGGGAGCTGCAGGGGGTCAACCAAATAAAGGGTGGCCCAAGCCAATGCAGGTAGCTCCGGGGCCGGCACACCCTATAATTTATTCGCAAAGTGGGGGTGCAAGGGCCCCACCTAATGCACCGAGCGGTCAAGTAGCTGGTGCATTACCCCAACAAGGTAGGCCTAAACCCGGTGTAGCAAACCAGGGTAATGGTCAGGTTCCTTTTATGGGTATTTGCAATGGTTGTCAGGTTGTAGGACATCGTCTGTCCCAGTGTCCTTATCGGGTTTGCTTTAGCTGCCAACAACAGGGTCATTTTGCTACAGAATGCCCTAGCAGACAGCAAGCTCAGGTTGAGGTTTCGTGTCAGGTTTGTGGGGCTAAGGGAGCAGTTCTTGCTCAATGTCCAAGGTGCGTGGAGTTCCGAGGATATTTGGAAAACGCGAAAGGGGAGGGGGCAAAACAACTTCTCCCCCCCAATCCAAACAGTAGGGACTGTAAATGTTGAGAATTTGTGTGTGTCGAGTGAGGAGAACTCACTCTCAAATAGTGGGAATTTGTGTGTTGCGAGTGAGGAGAACTCACTCTCAAAAGTTGGAAACTGTGTCAGCGTGAATTTGGGCACATTCGGTAGGGCTAGGCTTGAACCATGCTCAGGTAGTAGTGATTTTGGTCAAATGAATGAGGAGTACTCATTTTCTGTGGGCTTAGATAAAGCTGTGGTTTCTGCGGAAAATCTTGGTGAGGCCCCTGGTATTAGTGGGACTAATAGTGTTGAAAAGGGTTCAACACGTAAAGTCCAGGAGAGGGGAGAAACTGCATCGGTTGCAGTAGGTTCTCCAGATTCAAACGAGATTGTCGATGGGACTAGGCCTGAAAATAGGTACTTTTTAAAAGTAATCATTGCGGATCGTCCATACTATGCATTGTTCGATCCAGGGACAATGGTTTCTGTTATTGGTCCC